GCGGGGCCACGTCATTTTGAATGGCTTTAAATAACAATAGMTCTTTTCTTTCTTTTTAAGATAATGGTATATCGAATACATATTGATTTGCTGGTATTTGCTCATTCTTTCTGTTCAAATGTTGTCCTGTTTGCCTAACCAAGAGTGCCCACACAGCACAGTGTGCTTTGCAGAGTGCTGGATAACCTTGCTACTGCGTAACACCACATACAGGCAAGACATTGGTGATATTCCCATTACAGAGATCACTCCCATTAATGGAAGCAGACCACACTTTAAAAGGGTCTGACCTTGTAACGACAGCTGATGTTTCTGTAATGAAATAAAGGCAGCACCACAAACCCAAGACTCAGAAAAGCGAGATGGAGAAGTTGYAAAGTAAGCTTGCAGGATTCTTCTGAATGGGAAGCAAATGTTGACAGCCAAGACAAGGATGTGTAGATTTCGCTTTTGGTAGGTTGGACGGGCTGACAAGAAGAACATTATTTTTTGATGAGTTTTGACGTGACTGTAAGTGTAGCAAAAGGATGTTTTTACTGTGGGATGCCTACTTTTAATGGAAAAACTATATTCATGACACAAGTTTTGTAAAAGGTGTCAGGWACATTGAAGCTAACTATAATTAACATCGTTTTATTGGTACTGTAAAAGTAAAGTGGATAATTTTTAAAAAGTAGGAGCCATTCATTTCAGCTATACAGTTTTATGTTAAAACAGTGAGGAAAAGGAAGCAGATCTTCCCCTCATGGAAGTCTAACCAAGCCCATGGTACTTCCAGAATGTTATAATCCCAAGTCTCTTCAAAGGAGAGGTTGCTACGAGTTTTGCTTTGGAGAAAGGCCTCTAGAAACGTGAGGAATGCCCTTGTCCTCTGCCTGCTGTCCAGCTATGGCTTCTTTGACAAGGCTGTGATGCAGGTGCCCACTTCCAGTTTCGAGGGACAGGGTCCACGGGAATCACAGAGCTCCCTGGTGCTGCTGAAAGATGACAGGTACCGTAGGAGGTAACTGAATAGCTGTCTGTCTTCCTGCTGTAATTCAGTTAGCTCCAAGGAAAAGTGGGTGGAAAATGTGTGAAGATTTYTTTTTCTCAACGGATTCTTGCTTTTTGCCTGTGAGATCCGTGTTGATTAAAATGTTCTGTTGGGCGCTCTGTTTTTCTCCATGTTGAAATTGAGCATTGGTGCTGATGGACCTTTCGTATTCTCAAAATCCTGGACTAATTCTGCCTTTTAGTAAGCAGGCAACATGTCATGGATTTATTTATAAATTAAACATGCAATTTGAAAACCTGAAAGTGGTTATGTTTTCACAGTGTGTGTTACAAGTGTCTGTAGTTTTCAGTACTGGTTGGCAGCCCTTAATTTACAATTAATGAAACTTTTTGCACATTGGTGCCRCAAGTCAGAGAATCAGAAGTGATCAAGGTATGGTTTGATCCTGATCCAAGTTCTTTCATGGTAACATCCAATTGCTTCTGATCCACATGGGTCTTAATGACACAACGTCTGCTGAGGGCTGCATTTGCTGAATATAAAACAGAATTGCACATTTTATCTCAGTCCAGTAATTAGTTTATTGCATCACGTCCGCCTCTCTCCTGCCCACCAATTTTACTTGAAAGCAACAGTTCTCTTTCTACATTGAAAGGYCGCTCTTCGGTGACTTTGTTAGTCCTTAAACTTGAGGGTAGGTAGCACAKACCCCACTGAGGACTTACATGTGAGGCTCTATTCAGGGTATGACCTGAGGGACAGATCTCCCTGTAAAGGCTTTGAGGGTGGCTCTAAGGTTCAAGAAGGCTTCACGAGTGCCCCGTGAGATTTGCAGAGATAGGTAGAGGGATGTCTGGTAGCAGCAATTTTGATGTAAGTAGCATCACTTATGAGACCTGTAGCAGGGCATGCAGTTCTGTAAATCGCTTTTTACTTTTGCATCAGGTAGATGATCTGTTATGCAGACTTTAATAATATTTTATAATACATTGTTTAATGTTTATCCAATAAGATGTGTCTCAAGATTTATTGCACTGCAGCAAGATTGAAATTGAATTGGACAATTTGGAGAAAGATGTCCACTTTCACAGAAAAAAAAATCACTTAAATTGATTATTTTCAAAACCTGTTTGCAGCCAAATTGGGTTGAAAAGTGTTTCTGAATGTTCATGCTGATATGCCAAATAAAATTGAATGCAGTGTTTTTCAAACATGCTGTATGGGTTTTGATGGTCGTGATTATAATTAGGATTTTTCAGAGGGTGAATGATCAGTAGAAGCTGGCAATACTCAGGAGCCCTGAAAATCCTGCAGCATACTTGAGTATTCAAATCTGCAGTCAGATTTGAAAATGTTAACCTTTTTACTTTTTCATTGCTTTTTTTTTTTTTTTTAATATTGATGAAATGAACATAGAAACTTTCACTTACACAGGAATTGAGAGAAAAACTTTTTGTTGTTTAAAATTTAGGAAGTTTACCCAGTTCAATACAACTACTATTGCGCTTGAGTATATTTGAAAGAAAAAAAAAAAGATATTTTGCATTCAGTGGGAGGGACAAATCTAGTAAATAAGAAGCAGCAATTAAGCATGAGCATGCGAGCAGGGGAGGTGCCGGAGGGATGGAAGAAGCCGTCTCACATAATATCCTCATCGATGTCGACACCATCTCCCATAGCATCCTCATAGGGAAGCTCTGGAAATGTTGGTTGGACGAGTGCATGGTGAGGTGGATCCGAGGGCTGGCTGGGTGGCAGAGCTCAGAGAGTGGTGATAAATGGGGCTGAATCCAGTTGGAGGCCTGTGGCCAGTGGTTTCACAGATTCACAGAATATTTAAGATTGGAAGGGACCTCTAGAGATCATCTAGTCCAACCTTCCTGCTCCAGCAGGGACACCTAGAGCATGTGGCACAGGGTGGCATCCAGGCGGGTTTTGAAGACCTCCAGAGTAGGAGACTCCACAACCTCCCTGGGCAGCCTGTTCCACTGCTCTGTCACCCTAACAGTAAAGAAGTTGCTCCTYACCTGGAGACGGAACTTCTTRTGCTTCAGCTTGTGGCCATTACCCCTCGTCCTGTCGCTGGCCACCAGTGAGAACAGCTTGTGTCGCCAAGGGCTAGGTGCTGGGCCTGGTGCTGTTCAACTTGTTCATCAATGACCTGGACGAGGGCACGGAATGCACCCTGAGCAAGTTTGCAGATGACACCAAGCTGGGTGGAGTGGCCGACACTCCGGAGGGCTGTGCTACCATCCAGAGGGACCTGGACAGGCTGGTGAGTTGGGCAGAGAGGAACCTCATGAGGTTCARTAAGGRCAAGTGCAGGGTCCTGCACCTGGGGAGGAATAACCCCAGGCACCAGTACAGATTAGGGGTCGACCTGCTGGAAAGCAGCTCCACAGAGAGGSACCTGGGAGTCCTGGTTGACACTAAGTTAACCMTGAGKCAGCAGTGTGCCCTTGTGGCCAAGAAGGCCAATGGGATCCTGGCCTGCATCAGGAGGAGTGTTGCCAGCAGGTCAAGGGAGGTGATTCTGCCCCTCTMCTCAGCTCTGGTGAGGCCGCACYTGGAGTACTGTGTGCAGTTCTGGGCTCCCCAGTATAAGAGGGACGTGGAGCTCCTGGAGAGGATCCAGCAGAGGGCAATCAAAATGATTAAGGGCCTAGAGCATCTATTGTATGAGGAAAGACTAAGCGAGTCTTTGGAGTCTCCTTCTCTGGAGACCTTCCAAACCCACCTGGATGCCGCCCTGTGCCTYGTGCTGGAGCAGGGGGGTTGGACCAGGTGGTCTCTAGAGGTCCCTTCCAACCTTAAGGATTCTGTGATTCTGTTTTATGAAAATGAAGCTTGAATTTTTTAGTGCTTATTAAAATAGCTTTTATAATTTTAAATTAGGGGAGATGTACATCCTGTCTCCATCCTTGTCTGAAGGATTTTAAAAGTTCTTGTAAAGGCCACATTCACGTGCTGTTCACGGAAACTAAGTCTTCATCCAGAATRGGCAGCATTAGTATTTATCAACAAAGCATGATGTGGGCTGCTGCCTTGGAGCATAGTTTTTCCTATGTGTTTGTTGTAAATCAAAGAAATACCTGCATATGTGTTGCAAATCCTTTTTAGCTTTTACTCCTCCCTGTGCTGGCTTTCTGGGCCTTGACATTGGAAGTTCTCACAGGCACAACTGTCCCTTTTCATCCAATTAATTAACTCACTATCAGCATTGCCATTTTCTAACTGTCAGTAATGACACTGCTATAAATGCAGCTCTTTCAATAATACCCATAATTATCAAGAAACTCTGAAAAACCAGGTCTTTGCGTGGTAATAAATTCAAATGTTATTGTTATCCATTGCTTGCAGAGCTTTAGGATGTTAAGGATTCTTGTGAAACCACTCAAACTGTAGAACCTGAATATATATGTTGGGCTTTGTAAGCTCTTATCAAATGTTTTACCTGTCATTGTTGTTATCTTGTCTAATTATTACTTACTGTGCATCTTCTATGAAAGATCTTGTTGTGCAAGAGTTACCTTAATTTCTTATTTTGTACAAACTTTAAATAATTTAGTGCTTTTTGCTTTAAGGTATTCTTAATCCTTTTCAGAGAGAGAGAGTTATGCCACTTCTGAACCGCTGTGATTTACGCACACCAAAAAATCCCATACTTGAATAAAAACAAGAAGATTCTTCCTTTTTAATGCTCTCACTGAATGTTAGCCATTTCATTTTGAATCTGCCTAATTCTGGCAGGTCACATGTACCAAACAAACCAGACACATCATCTCAAGCCGAGATGATGTGATTCTYTCTTAATGATTGATAGACTGAGTCYTCAGGCTCATCTGTTCCTGTTCCCACTCAGATCATTTGGAATCGGTTGCTGTTGGGGGAGAATTAGTCAAGCAGTGCAAACCTCGGCCTGTCACCTCTCTATCTCTCTGCACTGCTGACAGCCTGTTTTTTTTCAAAGCTAACAGTACAAGTCACATAAGTGCAAATAGCACCAATGTTTGGTGAAAAATCTGTATTAGACTGGAGAAGGTAAAATTTGCAAGGATGACAAGTAGCACGTCACTGATTCCTTTTTGTTTGTTTGCCTTTTTTTTCAGAAATTGAAAAATTTCAGGGTTCTGAAGGCAAGAAGGAAGATGAAGAGAAGAAATACCTTGATGTTATCAGCAACAAAAACATAAAACTTTCAGAAAGAGTTCTGATCCCTGTCAAACAGTATCCAAAGGTACTGTATATATAGTCTAATATATTTTTAGCTTTCATAATAGAATAATACAAAAGCTATTGTTTTTAAATGCTTAATCATTTTTTCTTTCTTGACTGTAAATGTGCAAGCTTGAAGATACTTTAAAAAAACAGAAACACAATTTTTGATCTGAGTTTAACTTATTGGATATTATTTGGTATAGCTTCTGTCTTGAGGCTTTTCGGAAAAGCTATTCAAGTGAATAAGAATATTTTCTTTCATTGAAGCAGCTTCTGTAGCTGGTCCTTAGGCAAACTGCAGAGGTGTTTTCTCATAGTGTTTTTTTTCTTTTTTCTTCTTCCATAAAAATAGCAAGGTACTTTAGAAATAAAGGAAAAGGAATAATTTAGAAATAGAGTATTCTTGTGGAAAGAAAAAATGATTTAATAACTGTCAGAAATCGTCCCAGGTGTGCTTCAGCTTTTTCATGAAAAAAGGGAGATTTGCTCTGGAGTAATGAGTCCTAAAAGAGAAAGGAGCAGGATTTCTACAACCCATGAATTTGACAATATATGTCCCTACCTATAAAATTCAAATGTCTTTTTGCTGTTTGCCTCTTTATATGGCTTTTTTTTTCTCTTTTCTGTTACACATCATGATTAAAAAAGAAAACTTACATCACAAGCTAAATTGAGTTGTTAGCATTAAGTTTTAGTTTTTAATTTCACAATATTCTGCATGTAATGCTTAAAAAAAAAGAAAAAAAGGATACAGTGTTCTTTCTACAGCTTTGCATTTTACTGAGCAGTTGTTGTAATAGTATTTCAAGTGAAATGGTAAACATCTCCATTTATCTCTAGAATATTTTTTTCTTACTGATTTATTCTCACATGGTATTTGGATCACCATTAGCCTTGATTACACACTCAGCTTTTTACTTTGTACTTTCATCAGTAATAGCAATAAATTACAATGGGTAAAAAGCCTATCAAACAAAATGAAAGGTATAAAAAATGGAGATTCAATGATTCAAACTGACATTTACCTCCTGACTAGTGAATATAAAACTGAGGTAATGTAATCATCCAAATGGTAAAGACCTTAGAAATGCACACAGTGATATAAGGAATTACTTTCTTGTTTCATAGCCTGGGGTACTTTGCCTAGATTTTATAACATTTTGAATAAATGCTATAGGTGACCTGAAAGTCTTAATAAGAATCTAATAGCGCTGTAACTTTATAATGGCAATATGATAATATTCTAATTATTCAAAATACTATTTGATGAAGATAGCAGAATGAAAGACAAACTATTTGAAAGACAAATGCAATAATTTATTTAATATAGTGCCTGAATATGGTTAAATTAACCTTCATTTACTTTAATGAGCCTGTTATATTAATGAGAAATAAAGATATAAAACATGTCTACAAGTTTCCAGCAGTCAAACAAATCATCATTGTAGCAGTTATAAAATACTTCTTCAGTTATGTAAAAGATGGTCTCACAAAGTTTCTGTTGCTGATTCCCTAGCAATATTCTGGGTTCAAACTGGGATAACTGTGGCATCTGTGACTGTCTTCTGTTGTCTATTAACCATCCTTCAAGAAATAAATTTTCTATTTGGAACAAACTCCTGGTCATTATGGTATGACTTTTGTAGCCGAATTGTGTAATTTAGGTCAGTAAAACTCAGGACGTGATTGTTGTTGAAGATTGCTCTATAAACATTCACCAAAAGCAGCAATTGATTAAAACTATGCTCATTTTATTCTTTAGCAGAACATGTTGATCAGACTGATGTTTAGAAACACTTAAGGCAATGCTGTGTTCATTCTGATGGTTATTTATATTTGAAAGAATATTATGTTTATATTATTCATTGCTGATATGCTTTTCTGGGCAGTGTTGGATGAGCAGGATTCTGAAAATCTACAGAAGTGTCCACAAGTGTAAAWCTTCGGGGAAAAAAATCTGACTGGTTTGCAAGAATTATAATTTAATGTTGTTTACATTCTCTGATCTACTCTGAATTCAGCCCTCTAGAGACATTTGCTCTTGTTTTAACTATACCTAGAGATAAAACTTGCTCTAAGAGAACCCGTGGCACAAAGGCTCAGTATGGTCTGTAAGTTAGGTTGCAGCGAGGATGGGTCCTTTCAAGGACAACTTTAGAATTAGAAACAGCATTTTAAGCTCTGAACAAAAACTGATTTGAACACAAAATGCTTCTAGTAGCTAAATAGCTCTTGAATTTGCAGAATAAGTATTATAAAATTGTCCTTGCTCAAGTGTCTACAGTTTGATTTATGAAATTGCTGGTGCAGATAACAAAAAAAAAAAAAAAAAAAAAAAAGTCAAAGACTGTGATTAACAGCAACTATCTAATATTATCATGTCTGTCAAAAATACAGGCCTCTCCTTCTCTGGAAAACAGAAATATAAAAAAGAGACAAGAGTGTAACTAGGTAGTTCAACAGCTGTCTCTTCCAAGACGAATCCCTTTAAATTTCGGTAGCCCAAGTAAAAGCACAGTCTCATTTGCACACACTTCTTCTATGCAGTAAATAGTGCTAATGACTCAAAATTTCCTCTGAAACTGAAGTCTAGTCTTGTGTCGTTTATCCTTTTCTTGTTCCTGTTGCATAATGCCTTTTCATTTTTRCTTCTGTGATATGTGAATTCCAAGGCAGACCAAGGAAAACAGGCCAGTGAAAATAGCGAGAAGGGTATTTATTGTTAGCATTCTCAATTTTCAACAGTTTTAGTAGTTCAATTCAAAATCTGTGATAAATGTCCAAGGAGTTGGAAAAACAATGAAAAAACAATAGCAAAAGTGAAAAAAAAAGGTCTTGTTGCCGAAATACTTGACGTCCACACATGAGAGGCTTTATGCTCAAGCTTGTCATTTGCCTGCCATTACCTAGCCCTCTCTCCGAGATCAGCATGTTACTCTAAAAGTTTAGGGTCRAAACACCACACTGCCTCCCTTRAGGTATTTATACACGCTGATCAGGTCCCCCCTCAGCCTCCTCTTCTCCAGGCTGAACAGGCCCAGCTCTCTCGGCCTTTGCTCACAGGGCAGATGTTCCAGGCCCCTGATCATCCTGGTAGCCCTGCACTGGACTCTCTCCAGCAGCTCCACATCCCTCTTGTACTGGGGAGCCCAGAACTGGACGCAGTACTCCAGATGTGGCCTCACCAGGGCTGAGTAGAGGGGGASGATCACTTCCCTCGACCTGCTGGAGACGCAGGTCTCACCAGAGCTCTGTGTTCTCTCCTTCCAATAGAGTCTGGATGAGAGAGGCACTGTCTCTTTAGATTGAGCACTCCGTGGCACACTTTATTTATAGCCCCAAACTTCAGCAGCAGTATACACAATAAAACACATCCATCACAGTCTGCTTAGTTCATAGTCCTTGACACCGATGTGAGGAGCAGCAATTTCCAACGGTATATGATGGCATCTGCAAGGTGACTCTGTTAGGGATGAGATGAAGGTTCTAAATCATGACCAATTTTTATTTTCTCTGTACTGTTTTTTTTAATGAAAATTACCAAAATACAAGATACTGAAAACATGTGCTAACTACTGCCTTCTTAGAGTAAGGATCTGCAGATGATGCTTTATAGCAGGAATGACAGAGATGGCAAGCAGGTCGATTCTGGATGACTTTCATGATGTAGAGTTGCAAACGGAAAGCCACAGTGCTTGCCAGAGGAAGCAGTGTAATAAAGCCTCTTCCCTGCACAAAGGCAAGATAACAAGTCAACTGATAGGCAGTAATGGTCCCCTTGAGAAATATGATCTCTTAACTCCTGCTGAGCTTTCTAACTCCTGCTCATTTTCATCTGGATGAAAACTGCTGTTTGGGAAAAACAAGGATATCATCCATCTCACTATCCCTTGAAAGGCTGCTGACACCTTGTTTTAGAGCATGTGTTTCCAGGGAAGAGGCATAAACTAACTTTGTTAAACAAGGTAAATTAAGTCAAGTTCCAGATTCTTGATATTCTTTGATTTGCCTGTCTCATAGCTGTTCCTTGAATCACCAGACTGAAATCACCTTTCTCATTCTTTGTCATTCTTTTAACTAGTTGTCATGTACAGAACATGTCTGACTCCTGAAATGAAATGTATTTGTTCACCTATAATCCTGAAAGTATTTTAAACTGTAATATGTTAAAAACAGTTCACAGGTGATTTGTTCATATATATTATTACCTCAGAGTGGATCGCTCTGCTGGAAACTTTCTTATTGGGCATTTGAAATAGATTTGGAATGAAATAACCGTTTGCAGAAGAACTGGGTCTGTACTTTTCTAATTAATATAGAACAGTGTGATTATTTTGTTTTAAGTAGTGAAGTCGTTTAAGCACTACAAATAATTCCAACAAGCTTAAACATGGAGGTGGTGTTAATGAAAGTTACGTCCCTGTAGCAGCAGGAAGACAGTTCCTGAAGGCAGTTCCAACGTTTCATCAGTCATTTTTCAATTCTACCAATTCTACCAATTCAATTCTACCAGTAGATACTGCAGTAAACTTTGAGTAACCTCAGTAACCGTTCTTCACACACAGAGATAATGGGGGGTTATGTTTTATATGTTGTTACCTATACTGGAATAGAAATACTAGTAAGAAGATGTCTAAATTTGTACAGCATAAATCTTTCAGGAAGGCAGAAAGAAGGTACATATCAATTCAGCTGAGATTTGTCTCTAAGTTTTCCCCTGTGAATAATTAATTAACCATTTTTTATGGTTAAGTGATATATTTTGTATTATGTCAATTCCATGTTAAAATATACGATGAAAAATTTCCGAATTAATTCAGAAGACTTCTAGGAGAGGGAAACCTATGATTATTCCTCTCCCTGAAAGTGAAAAGAGGAGYTTCCTCTCCTGATATGTTTTATTCACTTGCTTTTGATACGTAGAATAAAAATCTGTAATATTTCTGTTTCTCTTCAATATATTCAGAAATTATAGAGATGAAGATAAAAAAATATAATTAATAATAAGGTGAAGATGTT